TTGTAACCATAGTAATTTTCTCTATACAATAACAAAGTTTAATAGAGCTATGTTTTAGAACTCTAATATACACCAAATTTTTACGAGGTTCAAAAATCGTATACAAGTATAAAATTATAAATCAAATAAATTATGCTTAATAAAAATTTCATTTGTTTTCAATAGAAAAGAAGAAGAAAAAACTGCATTCACACACATGTGTAGAAAAGTCAAAATAAAAAATGAAATCATAATTAACTTGAGATGCATTGTAAATATTTTTGATTAATATCAATTGTAATTTCATCCAAAAATAATATATGGAATGTAATTTTTAATTATTCTTGAAACAATTTATTAAAAATTTAAAATTTACCTGATTGTGCTAGTAGCCCAATCCGCCCATGTTTTGGCACCTTCAACAGCTTCTCCAGCACTGGTTTTGAAGCTTGAGGCAGCAGCCTCTGCTGCAAGAGTCACCTCCTTGGCTGTCACTTTTGCCGGTGGCTCTTCCGCCAACATTGGGGACTCTTCTGCCAATACCTTTGTCATTGTAATGATCACCAAAAAGACTATTGCATAGAATTGCATCTTCATCTTGGCCATTTCGCTTGCAAATTTTTGTTCTACCTATAAATATTCAGAAAACTATTACTATTGTTTAGCATTTGTGTTTTAAGATAACTTTTTGCTAAATTGATTTGATTCTATGAAAAAGATGTCCTATTTATAGAGCCATAAAACGATTTAAAAGGCGAAAAGAAAGGAGTAATTTTGTTTTTTATTGATAGCTTTGATTTACCTAAATTTTGAATGTATACATGTTCCCAATGAATTTACACATACCAAACATTAAAATTTAAATACTCATGTTTTACAAAGAATGTTATTTTATGATTTTATGTTTGTTTCACAAAAACTGTCGCGTCATATTTACATTGCATAATTTTAAACAAAAAACAAGTTTTAAACTTATCTCTTTAATGTATCATCTAGAGAGGAAAAATTATTTAGTGTATACGTAAGAGGTAAACTAGAACTTCAGAATACAACGATTTAGTAGTACAATGATTTAAGCATTGTTCTAAAATCCGGTATATGAGTTTTTATATACCGCGTCCAGACGCTATACAATGACTTACTGTATCGCGTTTATGTTATACGTATTTTAAAACTGAAAATTATACATATGTATAGGAAAATTAAATAACCGAATTTTATAGTTTTGGCACATATATGTTTTTAAAAACAAAATCAATAAAATGATGTCTTTTATTTCCAAAAAATAATTAAATTTAGGTTTTTCATATCATTTAATAGTTGATATAATTATTATTTTGCTAAAAACAATTTTCAATTATATCATTTTACTGATTGAATTCAACTACTATGTTAATGTTAACTATTGGGTTTTTGTTTATTTATAATATTCGTGATAATAATTTTTCGACTATGAATAAAAACAAATC